TGTTTCTTCATTTCAGGAACAGAAGTACCTGCTCTGTTTAAATTTCCTTAAATTGTACTTGTCCTGATAGAAATAGACTGCCACAGTTAGAACTTTAAGGCATTGCAGTTTTAGTTTAGATCATCTTGTTCAGTCTTTAGGAAAGGGAGTCTTGATAGAGAAAAGCATGAAATGAGTATTTGATATGAGTTGCAGAGGAAATATCCTAGCTTCAAAAATAAAAAGTGTACAAAGCAGCAAGTAGGTTTTCATCATGATAATTGGATCAGAACAGAATCTTATAGCATGAAGAAAGTATTGTTTTGTGAGAAACAAATCAGTTTATAAGAACATACAGTGTTGAAAATTATTGGCCACATTTTGATCTCTTCAGCTCCATCTCAGCATAATAGATTTTTCCTCCAAATGAAGAACTGTAACATGTTATTTAGTAAACAAATGAGCTCTTTGAACTGAACACATTTTGCTGTGATGTGTTTGTTAAATTAAGTGTAATACATGCCAGAGTGATGGCATAATTCTCAGCATTCGGTTCCAATTCTAAATAATATGTTTATTGTTTTAAAAAATTACTTTAGGTGGGGTAACTATATCTTATCCTGGCTCAGTCTTGCTCCTCCCTCTGTATTCCTTATCTTCATTAATGGCCTCATTTTATAGTTGTGCAAGAAACCTCTGAATCACACATATTTTTATGTTAGAATAGTCACTGAGGTTAGTTAATTTCACCTTAGAAATGTGTATCCCATCTTTCTTTTCTATGGCTCCAGTTAATCTTTGCTACTTCTTGCCTGAGTTGTAGCAGTAACCATCATTTGTCCATCCTTAGCCTTTCTACTTTCTAATGGAGCCTTCACATTAAGCATAGTTATATAACTGAAATCATTTAAGTCATTTCGTGAGTCAAAAGTACTTATGTTTACCTCATTCTTTTTGAAGTAAAGTCCAGATTCTTTAGGTTAGCATTTATAACTGTATTCTGGCTGGCTTTAATATGCTGCCCCCACCCTGCACATACCTTCGTCTGTTGTCATTGCCCAGTTGCACCTCTGCACTTAAATGTCTGCTTTATGCATGCATTTCCGTGTTGTGGAGTGCTTTCCTTCTCACTACCTTTTCTTTCAACACTTGGCACAGCTGTTTGCTTTTTATTTTGTACATGCACAGCATTTAGCTTAAACACATTCCACATTTATTAATAGTTTTTTTTTTTTCAAATAAAAATGTGACATAGACCTGAGCATCATGTCCCAAACTTGAGGCAGGAGGACTACTCAAGTTCAAGGCCAGCTTGGGCAATTTTGTGAGACCTGGCTCAAAAATTAAAAGGACTAGGATGTAACTCAGTGGCAGAGTGAGTGCCTAATATGTGCAAGGCCCTGGGTTGGATTCCTAGTACCACCACGGAAAAAGTAATATGGTATTCTCTGAGGCTAAAAAGATGAATAGAACAAAGTCCTTGTCCTGAGATCTTAACAGTGCAAGGAGGAAGATAGTTATTATCCCTTTTGGTAAAGTGCCTTGAGCACAAAGAAGAGAGTGTTTAACTTTGGGGACAGGAATAGTAAAAGTCAGAAGTTACAGGCTTGTATTGCATTGACTGTGTGGTAGGGACTATGTTTATTGACTCGGTTCTCAAATTAGTATGGGAAAAAAAAAAATCTGTATGGGAAGTAGCTGCTGCTGTTCCTATTTTGGATAGGAACATAGGTTTAAAAAGATTAAATAACTTCTCAAGGTCATACAGCCAGTAGGACTTG